GGCCCGCCCGGCAGCCGCGATGCCGTTCCCCAGCTCCGGCGCGGACGATGCCTTCGACTACCTCTTCAAGATCATCCTGATCGGCGACTCCAACGTGGGGAAGACGTGCGTGGTGCACCGCTTCAAGACAGGGCAGTACAACGAGAAGCAGCAGAACACCATCGGCGTCGACTTCACCGTTCGCTCGATGGATATCGACGGCAAGAAAGTGAAGGTCGGTGGCCTTAAAGCGCCTCGGCCGTGCCGTCCTTCCCGTGCAGGTGCCAGGAAGCTGCGGGACGCACGGCATCTCCTGCTCGGCCCTGCTGAAGGCAGCTGGCAAAAGCTTTTCAAACCAGGGGTGTTTCCTAGTGCAGCTTTCTCTCGGGAAGATGCCCTGGGGGAAGCAGTCACCCTAATTTGGGTACATGCTTGCTCTCGTGGCTTCTCTGTATCTACTTGAGGAGCTGGCTCGTGTTTTTCCTGCAGGGAGTTCTTTGGAAGACGGCTGTAGAGTTTGGGGGGGGATGTCTCTTCCCTCCAGACATGTGGGGGGTTTGAGCTGGGACACCAAGGAGGGAAAACCCCCACAGTTGCAAAGGCTCCACTTTGATGTGTGCTTAATTTAAGGGAAGAAGACTTCCAAGGCAAGCACCAGAAAAAATTGTCAGCTAGAATTTTCCTCTGTGTGGAGATGAAAGTCAGGATGCCTGGCCTTTATGTATAGATTTACTCTGCCCAGTCCTGTATTAGGGTTCTTTGCTCTTCTTCTTTTGCTATTAAAAGGCTATTATGTTCTGTATCTTTTACTACAGTTGTTGAAAATGGGTTTCTTGGCCTCTTTTCAAAGCAGAGTTTACCCTTGGAGCTTTCTCTTTGGTCCATGTAGATTGACTCTCCAGGCTTGTAAATGGCTTTTCAGATGTGGAGAGGGGCAAAGCACACTGCTGTCATAGAGTGAACTGGGACAGGAATGGCTGCCTTCTAGACAAAGGGCATCAGATGCTGAGGGCAAGCACCTAGGAAAGTGGTGTTCACTGCTCTTGACAACTTCTGTCCTTTCTCTTACAGATCCAAGTGTGGGACACAGCCGGTCAAGAGCGCTTCCGGACAATAACCCAGTCTTATTACAGGAGTGCCCACGGGGCCATCCTTGCCTATGACCTTACTAGGAGGTCCACATTTGAATCCATTCCTCATTGGATTCATGAAATTGAAAAGTATGGTGCTGCAAACTTGGTCATGATGTTAATTGGTAGGATTTTGGTTTTAAATACTGTGTTATGTAGATATTTAATATGAATATAGAATCTCCCTCGTTTCCTACCACTACTTGAAGCATCTATACACTGTGCATTAAGGAAGAATTCAGTTCTAATTTAAAGATCACAAAGTGTGCCAATTCAGCCTAAGCTTAAAAAAATTTGGAAAGTCATAGTCTGGTCCTGATGGGACCAAACCCATTGCAGACAGCAAAGCCTTTTTTTTCAGATGTTCCTTTCCTGTTGGAATAACACAACAAGCTTTGCTGCCAGGCTGGAGGCAGGAACCACTTTGTTGAGGTTAGAATTGCAGTAAGGCTGACCCTATACTCCTGATGCACAGGAACGCAGCAGCTCAATAATTCAAGGTGAAGGGGAATGCACAGGCTCCTGGTTCTCATCTTTCCTCTCTGTTCTCTTGATATGCGTGCGCACTGCCCTGTAATGGGATTCCGAGCAGGTAAGACAATAGATGGGGAGATGGCTTTTGCAGAGCGTGGAGTAGTCTGCTTGCATTCCACTAGCATCAGGAAACTGCCTCTGAGGAAAGCGGTGGCTGGGAATTGCCGGGAATGGAGCTGGTAGGAAGCCGCGGTTCCTTTCCCTTGGGTTTCATGGTTATTATTGCTCTTCCTGAGCCCAAGGAAGAAGCTGCAAAATGAGAGCACGGGTGTGGTGAAACGCCGGAGCCTTTATTGCCCTAATTTCCATTGGCGTGGCTGAGCCTGTTGCAGTGTGCTGCGAGCAGCGCTGAGCCCCAGGCAGGGCCCCTGAGCTGCCGCCTCTGCTCCCAGCACCTTCCGTGCTTGTGCTGCGGAGGTTTCTCCTGTCCTTCCTCTGGAAGGAACAAAAGATAAGTTCTGACCTGCATCTAACGCAGTGTGGGGAGCTGGGGGCAGGGAAGGTGTAAATCACTGCGCTTTGGCCGGGTTTTTCCAAGTTCTGTCATGAATCTAAAGAAAAAGACTGACTTATCTCTGTGTGGTGGGGGATGGTGGTGGTTGTTGGTTTGTTTGTTTTTTTTAGAGAGATAAGTGCTAAAATTAGTAAAAATAAAGCTTTTGTTAAGGATCCAACATGGTGCTTTCTTCCAAAGCTCGTGCGGTTTGCTTTACTTACACTGGGAGAAGTCGTTATACATTTAATTATACTTAGTCATGTTATACACCTTTATAGCAGGAGTTAAGAAACCTAGATTTCCTATCTGGAACTGAAGGAGGAAAAGGTGTGTGAGTTCCTTTTAAGAAGGCAAATAATCCTCAAGGCGGGGTTTTTTTGGCTGGGTTTTTTTTGTTTGTTTTTTGGTGTGTGTTTTGTTTTTTGTTTTTTGTTTTGTGGGATAGGTTGGTTTTGTTTGGTTTTCGTTTTTTTTTCTTTTAGAAATACTAAAAGGGGCTTTATAGGAGGGTAGTTAGTTTATATATTCAAGATACGAATTTGATGAAGGGTTGTCTTGAAACTACAAATGCAGACTTCAGCCAGCTGCTAGAACTGATAAATCCACATATGCTGCAACTGCCTAAACATTCAAAGGTATTTTATCTGAGGTGTTTCATCATAGATTTTGACTAAAGTGCTGCAAGTAAAAGTTTAATTTATACATGCAAAAACAACTTAAGTATATATTTTAGGCATTAAGGTATCTGATCTGAATTATTGTCTTTCTTTTTACATCACTCTAAAAGACTTCTTTTTTCAAATATTCAACTTAAACGCTACTTAACATTTAAAACCACTAGGGAACAGGACCAACAGTTGCTTCCAAATAATCCTTTACCTCCACTACCTCCACTAAGTAATTAGATGAACACAGATTTTTAGTTTTTTCTTGGATTTCATCTCATTTGCTATCATATGATTTCCTGCAGTTTTAAACCACAGTCTGTATTTGTGGCTCTGATGTACTCACATCTTGTTCTATCCAGTAACTCTTACTCCTAACATAAATCTGTTGTTTAACAAAATTGAATTCATGCATCACATTTAAAAATAAATTTTTGAAAGACTAAGTGATTGAAGTATCTCTTTGCCTTCTTTCAAGGGAACAAATCGGATTCTCTGGACAAGCGCCAAGTGCTGTTTGAAGATGCCTGCACCCTGGCAGAGAAGCACGGGCTCTTGGCTGTGCTGGAAACATCAGCAAAAGAAGCTCAAAACATAGAAGAGGTGTTCACATTAATGGCTAAGGAGCTGATAGCCCGCAATACCTTACAGCTTCATGGGGAGAACCCTCCAAACAGCTTCAGTCTTGACTCCAGGCCAGTGATTGCCAGTCCAAGTGTGGAGAAGACCCAGTGCTCCTGTTGAAGAGAGATTTCAAGGAGAACTTGGAAACTACCATTCTTCTGAGGCTGTTTGACTCAGTTTTGTTCAATTGATGAAAGTGTTCTATGTGGCCTCAAGCCATCTCTCTTGATATTTCTACCTTGCAGTTTGGCTTGTGAGTATTTCCAGAGATCATTGTTGCTGTTGTTAGCACAGGTTGCTTTGAACATAGCAATGTGAACTTCTGAGATGAGAGGACTTGGGAAGCTGCCAGCCCTTGCCTTAACCAAAGAGAACTATAAAAATCATTGCCTTTAATTATTTCCTTCCACATCTTTCTGGCTATGTCAGAAGATAAATTTGCACCAGAGTTCTGCACTGACCCTCCTAAGCTGTGTTGCTGGTTTTAAGTACAAGCACTTTCCTCTCTGCCAGTAGCTGTAAAAAGTCTGACACTTGCTTGGACAGCACTAACCCACTCCTGCCTAAACTTTCATTTAAGGGCTCTCCTGATGTCAGGCAGGTAGCCACCCATCCCAAGGAGCTTAATAACATTTGTGAAAGAGTGCAGGATTTCACATCTGCCCTGAGTTCCTCACCAGACAAACCTGGAGTGGCATAGCAGGCAGAATATCATACACTTGTTCCTGGGGTGAGAAAAGTTGCCTTTCACTTTGCTTTGTAATAGTCAGGATTGTTTCCAGCACTGATCTCCATCTTGCTACATGGACTTGCTGGCAAGCAGCAAAGCTTCCAGTGAAAGGACTGGTTTTTTTTTTTCATTTTTCAACCTCAGCTTGCTTTTGATGTGCTGATATTAGCCAAAAGCCTTCTATAGCTTGTGTGATGGGCCAATGGCAGCTTGAGAGCATCCTTGTAGATTTTCAAGGGAGTGTGAAGGATGGATGCAACTCCTGTAAAACTCCGCAAGGGGTGAGATGGTTTAAATTAGGTATAAAATTAAAAATTTAGATTGCGTTAGAGCAGTAAGGCAATGGTATGGAGTGCACCAGAGAGCTGCCCTAGGTGAGTATGCCTGCTGCTGCTGTGGAGACTGAACATGGTGGTAGCAAAGGAAGGTTTTGGATTCCTCCTCCCACTTGCAAGCTCTGCTACTTGGGGCTTGCTTTTCTGTATACTTGAATTGGTTTGGGCTGGGTTTTTTTGGTGAGAGTTTTGAGGTTTTTTGGGTTTTTTTTCTGTTGCAAGTTTCTTTCCCAGTAGATGAAAACAGGGGAGGAGGAGGAAAGAAAAATCAGAGGAGGTTTCTTTGACTGCAGTCCACATGTACCAAAGTGTATCACTTAGTTACTGTTAAGCTATGAACTACAATTCAAAGTCTGCAATGATAAAACACAGTTTGTGTTACATGTAAAGCAGCCTTGGGAAGGCTGGGGTGTTGCCAGCTTACCCAATGGCTGGTTGTCCCTGTTTCCTAAGTCCTTGAAAAATAGGGAAAAACATGTAGCAAGTATTGCTGGAAAATATTGTCTGAGAAGCACAAAAAAATAAAGGAGAATGAATCATTAAATAATAGTCTTGGAAATATTTCTAATACTCTTGATGCTTTCTGTGCCCAGGTTCTTTGCTATTACATGCAAAGAGCAATGGTTAATTCAGCTCTGTGTAAGCTGTGTAATCTTCTATGCTACCCTCTTGCTATAGCATGCTGTGGAGAAAGCTTCATCTTCAGGCATCCTCCTTCTCATGATTACTTTTAAAATATTTATTCCTTCTTCATTTTTACTAGCCTAGTACTTGCATTTTGGTTTGCACATTTAAGCAACAGTAAATACCATAGCTTTTCAAAGTGGGAAGCCAGCTTCCAAACAGCTAGTTTCTACAGCTCTTGTCACTACAAGAGCAGTCAAATGTTAGCTTAATATTTCTTTTCCTGGTAGTAGTTTGTAATTCATAATTTTTACTTTTAGTTCATTTGGTTTACCATCTTAATTAACCACTACTGTATGAAGTTATTTTGCTTACCCTCAGTAGGGAGACTCCTGCAGGCTGATGTGATCCTGAGTGCCCAGCACTGCCAGGCTACAGGGCTCTTGCTGTTCCCTTCTGCACATGTAGAGCTACTGGCAAAGCAAGACCTTGGCAGAAAGCTGTGCAACACAGGATCAGGGAGAACAAGCTTGTGATTGTTCCCTTTCCTTTAACAGGTCTAACAGGCTTCCTACTCCTCCAAGAAACTTAGTCTTGGACACCTACCCATTGTGCAGCTAAACCAGGAGCGTGACCTCTTTTGGTTGGTTCTGTTTGGCATTTTCCATGAGGCCTTTGGGCAGTTACACTGAATGGTTTCCACAGAGTTGCTTTTCCAGCTGTCCTCACCAGAGTGAAGAGCAGCACTTGCTAACAAGGTTCTTCGGAGTATATTGGTAACGCTGTTACTCATGAGGTAATACTCGAAGCCATGAACTTGTTTTTAAAAACCTCTTAGTATATAGCCTGTTATTCTAGACTGTGAGAACCACTAGATTACAGTGTGGTTACACAAGCTCAGCATCTCTGTGGTTCTGCCTTTCCCCATCAGAGAGCAGATGGAAACACCCAGCTATGACAAGGCAAAGCAGCAATAACTGCTGTGGAGCCTTCTGTTAATGGCTTGTTCCCCAGCATCATATGCAAATTCCAAGTGCTTCCTGACAACATCATTAATGCATTTGTACAAAGGGTTATAAAGTTGTTCACAACATTATTTTAAAAACTACTACTGCCCCACAGGTTTGAGTTTCAAGAGTGCACATTCAGCTTGAAGATGAGCTCATTTGTTAAGTTCTTATCTACTGAGAAGTATTTGAGTTTTTGCTGTGGCACATTACTTGCACTGGTGTCACAGCCAGGCCAGATGAGAACCAGCATTACCTATTGGTGGAACAGGCTAATAAAAATAGAAATATCTTAAAATATACCAAAGTGAAGAAGCTGGCTAGTTAGAAGCCAAAACAACAGCAGCCCTGTGATGTGGAAGGCACACAGCACTGCCTATGTGGTCCAGCTTTGCTTTATATGCAGGAGACAGGCTCTCAGTTACAAAGGCTGAGGTTCTGACCTAGTCATTCTAGTTAATGTTTAAGTATAGTTGGAAGGAAGACTACTTTCAGACGCTGAGCAGAGGTGGAGCGCTCTGTCCTGGAGCCTTCTTTCAGGAGGAAGATGCATGCCTGTGGTTTTGGACAAGGAACTGGAAGTGAAGTTTCCCCCAGCCAGGTGAGTGCTCCAAAAGCAGCACTGTTGTAACAGGTGCCCCTTCCCCATGTGGCTGCCAACACGCATTCTCCTGGCTCTCAGCTCCCAGAGCCCACGTTTGCCTGCAGGTCTGTGTGAGGGGCCCAAATAGTCACTGCTCAGCAAACTGGCTCTTGAAATGATTTTCAAGCACCACTCTTAAGCAACTGTGTTAAGTACTGGAACTACACCAATAGGCAATGCTGGAATATCACACTCTTTCCCTTTGTCTTAAGAGTACTTCACCTTGAAACAGGAATCCAGTTTCAGATGGGCAGGGCTTTCAGAAATCTTTTAAGGCACTTTTTCTAATGCTGCTGTTGTAAATCAACCTTCATGCAGCTCCTGCACAGCTTCTGTCAATGCAGTCGCAGCAAGCTGCTGCCAAGCAGGGGCTGGCTGGCTTGACAGTGAGTGACAAACAGCACACCTATGGTTAACTAGACTTCATATATCTACAATCCTGCATTTTCTTTCTACTCTTGTGTCCATGAACATCACTGCTTATACAGTTTTAACTCCTAAGTCTAGTTTTGCTAACCTGAAGTGAGGCTCACCACAACTACAGTTTAATGCCTTTCTGATCCTACCAATTAAACTGACTTTGTAGCTACTTGATCCCTGCAGCACAGTCCTATATTGTATCTCAATCCTAAAGGATTACATGTGGATTCCCTCATTTTAAGTTGCTGCAGCATTAATAATTTCATCTACACGAGTTTTGTTCCAAACATGAGACACCCTGTACCCTCCAAAAACAAATCTCCTCTGTACCTGCAGTAGCAGGAAAGTTACTTTGTATTTCATAAATGAACCTCGAAGATTACAATCCACCTTCGGCCACAAAGGCCAGCTGAACTAAAGCAGCACAAGTTGTAACAGGTCCTCTTACCTCCTATGATTAGTTCAGAGCACTGAGAACAGGTAGCACATTTACTCTGCACTTTCCACAAGAGGCAAAGGTCTGTATCAAACTAAATGTATATATTCTGGCCTAGGGAGTAAAGTCAAGGCACCTCAAGTGACAGCATCCATCTTTTTCTAAAGATTTCTGATTTGAAATTAAGATTGTGCTGGTGGAAGTTTATGGAGACTATACCTTTTCCATCTGGACACTACTCTCATTGACCTCTTCAGTTTCTGTACCCTTAAGGATTTCCGTGAAGAGAATGTAGCCCAGCCTAAGTTGTCACCCTCCATTTTCTTACATGATAAGCTTAATTCTACTACCTTTATTCCTGTTCTCACAGAGGAAAGACATAGCAGCCTACTAACATACTTATTTCAGAGGCCCTACTATTTTCAGCTGTCCCAGTCTGGGGTTGGTGGGGGTGGCAATCACAATGCTGCAGCCAGCTCAGAAACAAGCCTGGCACAGCACGGTTCGGACGGGAAGTGGCACCCAGCAGCGCTGGCCTGAGGACAAACACAGGCACTTCCTGAACCTGCACTACAGGAACCACAGCTCAGTTCAAAGCAAGAGAACTGCTTGTCATGCTGCACGTGAACACAGCAGCGCCCGGGCAGCTCCACCAAAGCAAATCACTCATCTGGGTATTCTCAGCCTCTCCTGTAACATGTACAGGAAGGAAGCTTTAGATGCACCAGCAGCCACCACGGTGCCACACCTACAGCCAGGCAGGGAGTAAAGCACACCACTCCTGACCCCTTGTGAAAGCAAGCTCACGGGTGTGCTCTGGCTGCTAAGTTCATTACCTTCTTCCATTTTACCAGAACACAGCTTTGTTGCAAACTCACATTTGAATGAAGTTTTCAAATAGGATGTAACAACTTATGTTCACCATGTAGGGCAGGGAGGCTTTAACTTTTTTGTTTTCTCCCTTTTTTCAGTTTAAAGTGTCATTTGCTCAAATTACATTCCTTTCCTCCCTCTGCTACTTAGCCCCTGGGAAAAAAAAATACCACCACACTGAACAGCAGTGGCTTTACTCTGCTCACTTTAACTTTTTTTTTATATCATATTCTCCAGCATCTGAATATGCTTCTAGCAAGTTTACTTCCACCTTCATGTATTTCTGCAGAAAAAATGCTTCCATCTGAACACACACAGGCTACAAACATGTGGAGTCTCAGGAAGTGGCTTGTAGCAGTGCTTGGACTTGCTGTCCAAATAGCATTACAATAGGAAACTATGGGTAAGAGTATGTCCTGCATCTGGCTTTGTCCATTTGTCCAAATAAAATTAACACAATAGTGGAGGACTGACTTCTGAGAAAGCAATACACATCAGCTCTTACTAATGGCCCCAGATATTCCTTCAATATATCAGCTGTCTGTTTGGAATGTCTCCCTTGCATTACAGGCTCTTTGCTGGAAAGGCTCTTAACAATGCTGGAATTCTATATTATGCATAACACAGTTCTGCAGGAGTTAAGAGTAAGTGACATAAATGCCTTTGTATTTACAGAAACACACACAAAAATAAGTCAAAAACCAGAAGCACCAAACTTAAAAAGAACAGACTGACTTCTTGTTTAATTTTTTTTTACTTTTTTTTATTTGGGAAAAGTGCTTCTTACAAAAGGCAGCTGCAAAACAATACGTTATAGACCTCAGAACAATTTCTCATTCCATTTAAAAGTGAAAGGAGAGGCAGTCTAGGGGACAAGAGCAGCAGGAGAACAGATCACGGGGCATCCACAAGTCAATAAAAAACAGCAATAATGTAATGCAAGGTTAAAATTCCTGTGCTGGGGCTTTGGTGGCAAAGTAATTTCTCAATGCAAATTACAGCCAGAAACTGCACGACTGCCTTTGTAAGCAGTAACTCACATAAACTGAACAGCTTTACCAGGCAACCTGCCCAGCTCAGCTGCAGAGAGGC